TCTACTGTTAACTGTTCTAGGTTATAGTTTATAATGTGTAGTACAATCGTTCAGATCTCTGTTTAATTGTCCAGTTTGTTCTACAATCAAAGTTATTATCTTTATTGTTATTTTTGTAATTGATACAATATATTAATTAGTAAGGCCATATATCGGCCGAATCGTTCATTTATGACCATATCGGGCTATATATTCACATAAATAAATAATTTTTTAATTTTTTTTTCTTTTACAATTTTGTATATCAATTAATACGTTCCATTAAAAAAAAAACTTGATACGCTGATCGAACTAAAAACCAATTTTTACATTAATTAAATGGGATTCAACGGATGAAAATATTTATTTAAAAATAGTTATTAAATTATTTGACCTTCAAAATTTTTAATTACGGTTTGCATAATATTGTTATGATTTTATTTTTCCAAAAAATTCAATTTGTCAAATTTTTTGGGATACGACGTATATTAGAATGGCAGAATCGATATGGTCAGATTACAAATTAAATATACATTTTTTTTAAAATAGCCTCATGTTTCAATTTAAGAATTTTTGAGCCTCCTTTTCTAAATAAATGTTTAGGTTTAAAAAAAAACTGAGAAATCAATTTAGAATTTTAAATGAATAAGTGTGATATAAGAAATATGAGTGTGTTTGAAAAACAGTTGGATAAATTTGCATCGATAGGAAGATGGCCGGAGAGAAGGGTAGAGGGCATAGAGCGGGTGAATAGGAAGCGACACAATGGACCTGGGTGGCTGTGGAGGCGTGTTATCAAATGGGTTCCTCATTCACATACTGCATACCGCATACTGTGACCTGAACTACCTGTGTCTATGTCTGTCTGTTATACTTATTCATACTAGCTATTGTGTTTCCGTTGTTGAGTCGAGTTCAGTTGAGTTGAGAACGCGATGGAACGTGCCACAATGCTCGAATATGGACTACTGTAGCAAGCGAATCATCCCCTCCCTTTACCCTTCTGACACCTCCTCTAATTCTTTTATTCTATCTCTTACCTGCGGTCGCTGTTGACCACCACATCTTTAGACACCTCAGATCTAAATTACGATCATTTATCTGTGAATAAATTTTCTGATACGACCATGGATAATTTTTATTCGTTCATACAAGGCCTGATGATATGAGTTTATATGCCCATTTCAGGCCTAATATTATCATATATTTCCATATATAACTTTTTGAGCAAAATTAGTTTTGAAATTTTTCAACAGATGGCGTATGATCGCTGAATTCTCTCGTCATAAGAGAGTTAAGTCTAAAGAATAAAGTTTTGAAATGAAAATAATTTTTTTCGACTCTTTTAAAGAACTCATCTGTCATTAATTTTTTTATAAAATTAAAAATTATACAAAGATATTATTTTATTTTCATCTATAGCTTGATATGACCAAATATCAAAATTGAGCGGATCAAAAAATTTTTCCACCAGCATATAAAAGTCATAATTAATTTCTTTCTTTTTCAACTTCAGAAAATTCTAATTCATTTTTTTTTCTCGATTTATAAATCCAAATAAAATCATTCTTTTTTTTTAACCCAATAACAAAACAAAAAAACTAGAGTGCCAAATATATTTATTTATTTTATTTGTACTGAATGAAACGACCAAAAACATAGTCATCCGTGACAATAATGCCGTTTTTCTTCAGCGAACGATGACAACTGTATGACCAGTTACCAGTTTATTTATTCTATTTATTCAAAATTTAAAATTCCATTGACAGTCTGATTTATTTCTATTGGCTCCTGTTGAGAAATGGCTCCGGCATCGATACGAGTCGAGTATATAGAACAATGCTTCGATTTCGGGGATCTCGCGAGATAAATAGCGGCTATATCATATATAGTATGTCGAGAATATAGTAGTTATCCGTCTATGGTATAGCTTTGTGTATATGGGCCATCGAGAGCAGAGTGGAGAAGGGCCAAGTGTACGTAAATATATACTACCTGTATAGAAGTACTGAATATACTACATATATGTATTCATCTTCATCTGTATTATGTATTACGTACATCTGTGTTATTATTATAGATATAGATATTGTCCTTCTGTACGTAATGTAAAAGGTATAACGTATACGTTAACTCCATGCTCACCTATTATGTCGCGGAAAGTGTGTTATCCAGCAATAGCACCCACACATTGAAGTACGCACTCATATAAGGTATTACACACACATAACAGTAGTTTAGTTGGTGTTGGTGTACGATGTACGATATACGATATACGATATACGATGTTGTACCCTACACACCGAGTGCCGACAACAATGAGCCAGAGACAAAGCACAGGTACAATGCTGATGTTGAACTCGACTGATTTCGACGATTTTTGGCCTTTCCATGTGCATCGCGCGTTTCCCGACAATGATTCCCGCATACGTAATCATCGCTATGGGCAAATCGCATCGCACACCACCAAACTCAGACTCATGTCAGTTTATTTTGTGCTATTGAGTTCTCGGCTTTTGTCACTTTTATGACTCATCTCAGGGCTGACGTGGTTGTCTGAAACAGAAGAACATAAATGTCGCTTTTAATTTGAGTTTAAGAGTATGAAATTGTAAGGAACATTGAGGGATATTTGTGGTAAAAAGAAAAATTATTCATTTAGTCAACAAGTTTTCATATTATTTATTATTAAAGTAAATTTTACAACCAAAACATTAAAATTAAAAATTGATTTTCCAATTTTCAATTCAAAATTTTTTTAATTAGAAATTAATTTTTAAAATTTTTTAATTAATATTTTGTTTAAATAAACATTTATTTAGCGACAAAAAAATTATAACTTCCAACATTAATTTAATTGAATAAAAAACTGTTCATACTCTAGAAAAAATGTCCTTGAATAATTATTGTTATTATCAAAATTTGTCGATAATTATCTTTTAATTAACAATATTTTTAAACTAGGCCTTATTTTACTCGCGGGTACTTTAGCCACTTTTATTCTTATTTAATAAATTTTAATAAAAACTCACAATTTTAATCCAAAAAATCATTAAACAATCTAGAAATTCTTAAATTAGTTAAAATTAACTTGAGCCTAAAAAAATTTATTTAAAAATTTTTTTACTTGTCAAATTTTTTATAATAATCCTTTTTTTGCAATCTTTTCTTTTCAATCAAGTTAATTTTTTGTAAATACATATTTATTAAATTTTCAATATTTTTGTACATTCAAATTTTGATAAATCATCCGGTCAAATGTATTTATAAATTACTTCTAGTTTTTTTTAATTAAAACCGAGTAAATTTCATAAAATGTTCCAACCTTTGTGATCATTCAATAGAAAAAATTGAAATTTTCGTGGGAAACATTGCAATCTGCAAGGGGGAACAGCAGCATTGTTGAAGTAAAAAGCGAATATATATTTTTCGATTTTCCGCGAGGGAGTTTGGGTTTTTTGTAAATTTGGAAACTTTTTTTAATTAAATTTGGTACAAATGCAAATACTCGAGTGAGCACCCCTGCGTACCTGAATAGATACATTGTACCGAGGCGGCCTATTGACTGGCGATTGTTCCCTTAACAATAACAACAATATCTGAATAGTAGTGCACATCTCGTACGCACTTGCGACACACACCGGTATGAAGGTTTTATCCATGTGAGGACGTCTACAGGTGAATATGCTTTTATATATGTCGATGTCAATGTGGAGGAGATAGAATGGAGGGTATGTGTCGCAAAATATGAAGATAGTGGTAAAGGTGAATCTGTGTGTGAAGTACGCATCATAACAGTAGTGCAAAAGAAGTAGATTAGGGTGTAACAGCAGCCAGCATGTGTGATGTATGTGTGTTTATTAGAATGATGGAGGACGGAGAAGTGTATGATGACGGTGATGAAGAGGTAAACGGGCGGATTGATTTGTATTCCTTTTCGGATTAAATGTTAAACCGACCCTCTCTACTCTGTTTTGTCAGAATCAGACATTTACGGATTATCACCCTATTAATTTTAATCTAATATTTTTATTATTAATAAAAACGTATCTGAAATAACTTCTAAATAATTTTATGAAAAGTAAAATGTATGACTCATTTTTTGAATATTTTTTTCTTCAAATAAATATAAACTCGTGAGTATTTATTTGAAAAGGAATTCTATGATCTATGTAGTGAAAAAATTCAAATTTATTATTATATTATTATTCATTTTAATAAAAAATTACTGCTCAAAATAATTACATAGAAATTAAAAATGAGGTTTTTATAGACTTTTAAATTATACGTATATACATATCAATTTTTCATATTTTTATAATTGCAATCATAAAAATTCGTCTTTTATTAATTTAATTTATTTATTATTTAATTTTTGCAAAAAGCTTTTATTTTGTCATATTTACAGATAAATTTAAAAAATACTAAATCAATTATTCAATTATATAATCACTTATTAATTTTACATATTCATAATTATAAAAAAAAAATATTCATTCAAATGTATTATAAATTTTATACTATCATGAATTTTAATTATTATTTTGATAATTCTTTTTACTGATCTACCTCAATTACTAGAAAAGTTAATTGAATGGTTTATAAAAATCTTGTCACTAAAAATTTCACCACTCAATAATTTTTTTACAATTAAAATTTACTAAGTTCAATCTATGTTAAATATTTAAAAATACCAAAATATTAACCAAGTTTTTAGTTATTTAAAAAAATGATCTAATAATTTTTCTCATATTCCTAAATATAATAAAAAATCTTTCTTTTCATTTACTATAGAAATTTATATCTAGAAAAATTCAAACCTTTCATTCTACAATTATTACTCTTTCATTTAAAGTAAAAAGAGATCACTTCGCTTAAATAAAATCCTGTCAATATTAATTGCAATCACTCGAGAATACTTTTCCAATCGAAATTATAAAATTTCAATCCTCATTAATTATTTACAATTTGAAAAATACCAAACAAGTATTGTCACACAAATACACGCTTTTAGCGCATCGTTATATCTCCTTTATAAAATCTGATTGAATAGGTTCCTCGAAATCACAATAGCTGCAACATGTCTGTAAATAAACAGATTTCATTACAAATTTCAAACAATACAACCATAAACAATAAAATAATAACAAACATACCAATTCATCACAATTCAAGTCCTCGTCAAGCTGACCCTTAGAGCTGACTCTCGTAGAAACATCCTGATCAAACTTCCAAGTGAACTGCCAGTTAAAGTTCCTGAGATTGGCCTCCAGATTCAGAATGTTTCTCTGATTGTACATTACCCTCGGCTGCTTGTTCTTTGTTACCATGCCTCCTAGAGGCCTTCTTAGCCGGTAAGACTCCTCGCGAGTCATCGGCTGCTGATAAAGCATTTCTCCAATTACCATCGGAACCGGATTCAGCAGATGTCGGTAAAATCGGAGGGCGTCAAAGAAGTTCATCGACGGAGGCAAAGCGGAATCTTCCTTTGCTTCTCCTTCTGTCTCTGTACTACCAGAGTATTGCGAGTCCTGTGGTAAAATGCTCCCTTCAGTATCTTCAGAATCCGATTTGTTCTTCCTCGGGTGGCGTTGGCGTCGTTTCCGGTTTTTGGAGGTCTTTGCTACCGACTTCATCCCTAGTTTTGATGACCCCGAACTTCTTTTGTTGAACTTATTATTTTTATTATCAATACTATTATTATTGTTATTATTATTATCATTATCATCATCATCATCATCATCATCATCATTATTATTATTATTATTATTATTATTATTATTATTATTATTATTATTATTATTATTATTATTATTATTATAATTATGATTAGAACTATTATTATTATCATCAATATCGAAATTTCTCTTTTTAATGTTACTTTTAGACTTTTTCTTCGCGGCCTTGACTTTCTGCTCCATGAAAATAGAAGTCAGAGCATCCAGTTTCGTATTCTCCAGTTCCAAATCACTCAATGAAATCGCCACAGATAACGCCATTTTAATCACTCACGATGAACCACTTTAATTTTTCACTCTTTATTATTTATTTTCGAATCAATTATTATTTTATTAATATCTGAAACGCTTCTTCCCGTCGAAGTTTTGTCAAAATATTAGAGAAGTTAATTAAAATTATCTGCTAATTGTCTAGACTGAAGATATACTGATGATGGTGCAAACAACGCCCGTTCTTGGGTTACTTGATTCGAAACTGATCAATGAATGACTCGGTATCTGTAATTGTCTTCGCATTTTTACAAAAATATACTCAATTGTTGACGACATACATTGTTTGCTTTGAGTATAGTCCAAGTTCAAGCTGAATTCCTGGAGGATTTAGTTTAGCTTCTCTAATCCCTCTGTCTTTATATCTGTACGTTACTTTGAATATTATGAAAAGGAATGTAAGTAAATAGAATAATAATTTATTCAATATTAATTGGAAAATGAGTTTGATTCATTAATTTTCAAAATTATCTTACAATTGAATTAATTGTTTATAATAATAGAATAACTTAAAATATTCTAAATTTGTTATAAGGATGAATTGAATGATTTCTTGTAAGGTTGTTTTAAATTTGCTGGATTAGTAGAAAATTTTTAATAAAGTTTAGAATGAATTTTTTTGGAGTATTTAAAAAATAAAGAAGTATAAATAAACTATTTTTTTGGTTAAATTGTACACGGGAAAAAATTTCTGGGAAAATTTACGATACAACTATTGTAAAGCTGGACTATACTTTTATTACTATTAATTATCAAATATTTTAGAAGAAAAAATACTATTATTTAATGAAAAAATACGATATTACTATTGTAAAAAGTAAGAGATGAAAATTTCCAGTGCTGCCTCTGTATCTTTCCAATAGAACTATAGCAAATTTTACAATAGTTGAATTGGAATGTCTCTCAATTAGTGTGAGTGATGGCCGTGCACAGCGCTAGACTCTGAGTTTATATAAATGTTAAAGGACATGGATCTCAGTTTACCGCGGATAGCCTAAAGGGAGAGTCTCTGGCTACCAACACAGAGTTTTGGGTTCGATTCCCAGATAGCACGAAAATATTTGTTTCTTTTTTCGATTACTGTTCAGGTACCAATTCGTGCAATCTTCTATCTCTCTCCCTCTCCAATATTTCTTTTAAAAAAACCAACTGTGAATTTTTACAATAGTTGAATTGTAAAATTCACAAACACATATTGTATACTTTGCTCTACAGTATTCGACTTTTTAAAACTCTTGCTAGTCTTATTTGTTGGATAAAATTTACAATAGTAGATCGTAAAAATTACTAAATGAGAAGTATAGTCCACCGTTACTATTTTATTTAGTAAAAATTACAATAGTAAAATAGTAATAACTCCTTCAATTTTCTTTCCGTGTACAATTACCAAGTTTGATCTATTTTCTAAAAATTCTAAAGCTTAGACATTTTCTATTTTTTGAAAAATTTTAAAGCTCGGAGATTTCTATTTAAAAAAAAATTACAAGCTCGAGGATGTAATATTTTTGAAAAACTTGAAAGCTCAGGAATTTCATTTTTTTAAATTTATAAATCTATAAAATTATATTTTAATTCAAAAGCTCTGACATTAAAAATTTTAGAAAAGCTTTGAAGCTCAGAAATTTTTAATTTTCTAAAAAATTTAATTTTCCGAAATTTCATACTCCAAAAGCTTAAAAATTTTATCTTCTTAAAACTTTCCAAAGCTCGAAGATTTTACATTTTCTAAGATTTCTAAGTTTCAAAAATTTCACATATTTTAAAAACTTTAAAGTTTTAAAATATAACCAGATTACTACCAAATTGATAACAATCGTAAAAACCAATAATAAAAGCTAAAATAAATTACTTCATTATACTTTTAGGTTTTGACTGTCACAATTAAATCGAACTAATAACGAATTCTTAGAAATAGTAAAGTTTTTCGTCTGCAACATTCTAAAACTTGGAAACATTTCAAAAACAAAATCGAAAATAAATATTTTAGTATGGATATCCAGAATTGAAATAAACTAAATAAAATAAAAAAAGTAGTACCCCGGATCGCAAAATTCCAAAATAAAACCTGAGAAAAAAGTAAAAAATAAGAATGTAAATAGTTAAAAAGAGAAGAGTGATTTTCGCGTCCTCTTGTCGACCCATCCGGTGGCCTTAGCAACGCACATGCGCCCTTATCTTGGCATATCCTCCTCTGGCTGTTGCGGGTGGTTGGGGATTGGCCCCAGAGTAACACCCCCTCATAATGGGTTCACCCGTCCGAGCAAGGCCGAAAGGGAGCGACCAGGACGGGAAAATCTGCGACAAAGAGGAACAGAGACCGCGAATAAGGCGCGGGAGGAGCGGAATTTGATGGCGAGGAGACCGGGACGCCAGAGGGCTAAGGAAGCCATATTGATTTCCCTATGTTTCCCCGTGTTGTTACTATAGCGCCAGTGAGGGCGCGAGGAGCTCAGCACACGAGTTGAGAGTTGAGGACTAAGTATCCGCTGGCTGTCTACCCTTCGAGAGCTCGCTCTTTAATATGAGACCAGAAATTCTTTTCCATCCTCACCCACCTCCTCAAATCGTTTTTTTTTCTTCTTTGTTTGATTTTTTATTAAATTCAATTCAATTAAATGAAGAAATAAATAAATGAAAATAGTTCCTCTCCAAACTTCAATCAAGAAAATTATTTTCTTCATCATCGCAATTGTTCCTTTGTAAAATAAACTTGAGAGAAAATTGTGTTAAATAAATATTAAAATTGATTTTTTATTTTTAAAATTATTTTAAGATTGGCATGTTAACAATTATTTAGACCATTTTTCAATACTTTAGAATAAATTTTAGACTAAAAAAAAAATTAACTTGATTTAAAATAAAAATTCTTTAAGATAGAAAATTATTTTAAAAAGCTTTATCGTTTTAATTTAAATAAAAAAAAATTCTTTGAACTGAGAAATTTAAATAATTTTTTGTCTTGAATAAAATGAATTTTTTTTTTTGGTTCCAATTTTTTTTTCTGTGAAAAATCAACATTTATTTAACTGTTTTTTATTTTATTAAAAATAATCTAGTGCTAAAAAAATATTTTATCAAAATTTGAGTTCTAGAATTGACAAAAAAACTTAAAAATGTTCAATAGCAGTATCATTAAAAATTCTCAATCGATTAAATTACTCTCGATAAAAAAAGCAAATAAATAAAAAAAATTTTTGTCTAAACAGCTCTAATAAATACCACATATGTACAACACATTACATAAACTACATTACATACACGGTAGATTTATCATTATTATTAATAGCTTCCGATGGACGATGATTGATAACACGAGGCCTAATAGCTGATCATTAGCTATCATCTGTAACATCAACGCCCCAGCAAATAATTCATAGACTCAGAGCGGAGTCTCAATGTTCAACATACAAATATATATGTGTGGGTCGCGTTCGTGTAAATCACCTATGAAGCCTCAGTCCGGATTTTTTCAACACCTGGGTGGTCAAAAACGCGGACCACATCAGCTGCAATACTTTCCTCTCACATATATCCAAAAAATGAGGTAGAAGAAGCAGGAGAGAAAGAGGTAGAAGGAGAGATAGAGAGAGAGAGAGAAGGAGGGAAAAGAAGAAATAGAAGAAATAGTAGGTTAGTTGTTAAGTAGTGATGCATGGCCCAGTAATAGCTACAATACAACGAGCTTACAAGAGGGTTCCGCTTCCATCCTGGCGTGACTGGAGATTTATAGCTCTCGAGCGGATTGCGGATTCCCAGATTCCCGGTTTGTCCTTATAAATGGTACCCTATTAATTGACCCCACTCACCGGAGGGCGCGAGGAAAAAAACAAGACCGAGAAGACACTTGTAAAGGGTGACTCGATAACTAACGTTAATGCTCCTAATGGTGTGTATATTTATTTCCTCCCTTTATTTACCAAATAAAATTCCCCATATATATATATATTTTATGTTACTCCACTCGGCCGGAGGAGGAGCTCACGTCAAAACAAGGATTAACTATACCATCACGCATTTCTCCAAAACTAATAACTAATATTCTGTTAATGATCTCAGATATATAACAGTTAAACATGAGCAAGTTCTTTTATTTTATCGCTAATTCTCATTATCGTTTACTTGTTTGTTTTTATTCGAGGGGAGAAATTGATTTCGGATGATGGATGCTTGCTTTTTTCTAATTTTTATTTGCGGTTGGGCTTATTGGTTATTAGGTACGATTAGGGGTGTTTTGCTTTTTAGTAATTAGTATTATTATTAATTTGATTGATTTTTAAGTATGATGATAATTATTAATTGATTAATTATGTGATTAAATTTTCTGACATGAAATTTTTTTTCAATTGCAAATGTTTATTATTAAAGAGTTTTATTCAAATTAACAATGTTAGTTTCATTATTATTTTATTTTATTTCTCAAAAGTGATATTTTTTGCACTTCATAGTAATTTCATGAAAGTCAATTTTCATTTTATTTATTTTTAATAAAAAAAGAAATATTTTGAATTAAAAAAATATTTTTTTTTTAATAAAAATTAAAAGTAGAATTTTTGTTTTTAATTGTTCTATCTCTAAACTCATTTTTTGTTCAAAAAGTAAAAAATTTTTATCATTACAATAAAAAATTTTTATGCGTCGATTTAATAAAATTGAGTTAAAGTGTATTAAAAATACAAAAACGTTAAATACTTAACACAAAAATTTTCTAAAAGAATTTTTTTTACACAATGACGAAAATTTTTTACTGTTTAATTGATAAAATTTTCAAATAATTATCAAAAAATACTTTCTAGACACAGTAAAAAATTTTGTGTTAAAAATTTTTATGTTAAATATTTAACAC